AAGTTCTACATTAGTCAAACACAAGTGATTGGGCTCCATACAGGAGTGCAACCTGATGCCCTGTGATACACAGGAGGTCAGACTAGATGAGCTAATGGTCTCTTATGGCCTGAACTCTATGAATCTATGAAAAGAAGGATGTGGCAAAACATGTTAACAGGGTTGACCTTTTTCTGTCTCTCCATTACTCCATCCTTGTTTGTTTTTCCAGAGAGTGAAATTAACAGTTCATAACTACCAGCTTACTGAACCTAGGGCCTCTTGATTTACAATTAAAACAATTGGGAATATGTAATATTGCACAATTTAGTAGTAATGAATAATAATAATAGAGTAATTGGGATTAAAGGAGTCTACAAGAAAATGCCTCCTTGGAGATATTTTAAGACATTAACTCACAGTTCCTAACCCCACAGCATTTGGTGTGGCATCTAAGTAGACCCTTGGGTTATAGATCAGGGCAGGTGCAGAAGACAGTACTATAAATACTCTCACCCTTAAGGAACTTAATGGGCTCCAGGGAGTTGCCTTCTTGAATGACAGAAGTTCAGAGAGGAGTGGTGCCTTCTTTAAAGCAGAAACTCTAAAATCCTGTCAAAGTGCCAGTTGTTTAGTCCACTACTGTTTCCCAACCTTAAATTAAAAATCATGCTGCTTTTTACAGTAATCTTAGAAATAGTATCATAGAAAACAGTTCACAGTGTGGACAACAAGAAGTTTTTCTCCATGTAGCTGTGATCCTAGCATATGCAGGCCCCTCTGCATATGTATGTTCCCTAGTGGACTAAGGACTCCTATTTCATGTTCAGCAACTGTGTTACGGTCTGATCCTGCACCAGTTAAGTAAATAGCAATTTTGCTATATACACCAATGACCCACAGAGCAAGCCCTTATTGTGGAACTATGGACAAGTAACTACCCTCTTTGTGGGTTCAATCTTGCCTACTAGTAAACTGTAATATAGATGTCTTATAATCAAATTGTGTTTAAATTCATTTTTGTAATGCTCTTTGAGATCCATAGATGGAAAAAAAAATACTACAAATGTTGGCAGAGCCTGCCCAATTAATCAATTATTATGTTTTAAAACAGTGTTTGCTAGATAAGTGAAATTTTTGTGTACCTAACATACATGATAGCCAAATTTCACATTATCTCTATCAAAAATACATTTTTGAACTTTCCCATCTTAAAAGTGTTTCAGATGCTCAAGAAACTTTGTAAAATTAGGTTGTGTCTGCACTGAAATTTGCATTGCTGTAACTGTATCTCTTCCTGTATGAAATACACAAGACTTTTATGAGCTCACTCCAACTGACCTATCTGAATGCCTAACCATCTTTTAGGAGGCGTTTGCCCAGAACTGGCTGAACCAGTCCTAGTCACTAGTTAGGTGTCACTTCCTGCATATTCCTAAAAACAGTCCTGTCAGGAAGTGAGTAGTATGTTTTAAGGCAAGAGCCATCAGAATAATATTACCATTTGCTCCTTTCTCTGTTCTCAGAATCTTCAATAAGAATTTTGTTTCAACCTAACCCAAGTCCTGGACAAACGGGCACATCCCTCCCCTGACACATTCCACCTGCGCATCTGGTCTAAAACAGCTGCCAGACACTTTCGAATTAAGTTAAAAGTCACAAATTCCTTTACACAAGAAGAAGTGCTGATTCAAAAATGTGTACCTTTTAAGGTAAACCCAGCGATTTGCGGTCAGTAATTTCTTTTACTGACAATAACTGGATCTCTATCATTTTGCTAGAGACAAGTAAGACTTTTGTTAAGAAACTATTGTTTGTGAATTGAGTGAGATTACAATCTCAGCTCTAAATGCCACATAAGGTGATGAAAAAAGTACTGTAGGTAACCAGTTGAACACTACAATACTATTATCTTTTGGAAGCTTTTCCTGAATCTGTTTTCAGTGTTCAGAACTAAGTTGCAAGCATACTTTATTTAAGTATCAATTTGAAAAATTGAAAAAAATAATTGCATGGGCCTTTTAAATTCTGGGTCTACCTTTGCTGGCCTGCTGAAGTGGGAATATCCATGCAGGTTGAGGTAGGTAGTGAAAGATTAAATGAGCACATCTGTACAGTCTGTGCTTTTAATCTTTTCTTCCAGTAAAACAATTCAAATATTTTTAATTGATATAAAAGCCTCACTACTGAGAAATCTCAACTTGAAAATATTGCATTTTCCCAGGGAGGCAGTGCCACTCTCTACATCAGAGCTTTCCAAACTGTGTGCCGCGACACATTAGTGTGTCGGCAGCAGTGTGTAGGTGTGTCGCGCGAAATGCAGAAAATTTTGCGGAAGGGCACCGCAGAGCTCCCTTACTCGCGTCTGCTTCCCTTGGCCCCTCCCCTGGAACTGAATTACTGTGTCGCGAAATGATGCATGTCTAAAAAGTGTGTCACCAACATGAAAAGTTTGGAAAGCTCTGCTCTAGATATTTACTTTGAACTTAAGGATCTCCCGCCTCCCTCATTTACACACTAGGTTCCCATTTTCCTATCCCACCCATGGGGAGTCCCAAGTCATGACCAGCTTCCTTTCAGATAAAGGAACTGGATGGGACCCTTGTCAGAGCCTATCAGCACTGTTCATTAATTGGCTAGACAAAGCGCTGTTTAATTCTACAAGACATTCACTCTATCCAGTGAAAACTCAACTTGTGAATATTCCCAGCCTGTGGTATTTTACACTTTTAAAGGAATATTTGGTTTTGGAATCTAGATACATGCATAAATCATATTACTGCATTTCAAAATAAATTTTATTTGCCAAGTAAAATTTTTTAAAAGCCTCATCTTGCTACCACTGAGGTTGGTGCAAATGTTGGCATTTACTTTAGGCAAAGCAAGACCCAGACCTAAGATTTAATTCTGGGTTTCATGGGGGAAAAGCATCTATACATTACAGAGGTAATCACTAATAAATGCCTTAGTAGACAATCTACCAGCAATACTTTAAAACACACAGGAGACAGAGTATCTCTGTTCATAGTAAGATCTGCTTAAAATAACATTTCCATCAAACAATTGTCCTATGGCATCTGGTCCAGATGGAAGTGAGGGCAGATATCCAGTCACTGTGGAAATCCCTTTCGAAGGATTAAGAAAAGAATTCCACCTTCTAGAAATAGAAACATTACGATCTTTTCCTCTTGTGAGATACTCAGATGAGTATCTCAGCAATACAATGAACCTTTATGTGGCTCAGGCTAGCCATAGAGAAAGCATGTGCTTTGTTGTTGAAACAGGTCTGAACCAAAGCTGGGATCTAGCCACCTCTGAACTCTGTGAAATTTTAATATCTAAACTCAGACTTTAAAAGTGCCTGTCTTTATAATTGGCTGGAGGGAAGAATACCAGGGTGGGTTGAAATCTCAGTTTTAAAAGTTTTATAGAGCTTATGCTCTGAGCATTTGAAACTGAATGGAAGTTGGGCACCTAAGTCCCTTAGGCTCCTTTGAAATCACAGCATGCCAGAAACCATCAGCCATTTGCCTATCATCCGACTAGCATTGGTTCAATTGAACGGTGACAACAGCCCGACAAGACTGGTTAACTGAGCCTCTTGGAGAACTGAATGCTGCTGGGTTCAGACCCTTCTCCAAGCAAGTTTTACTTTCTACGGTAGTGCCCAGGTCGTGGGTTTGTCAGTGACAGAGACCAGATAGGCTCTTGCTTCTGGTGCTGACAGGTCTTAAACATCCCACCTTGCTGCCTTCTTTACAGCACAAACTACTGAGGGAAGCTTTACAGAGTCCTAATTAAACGCAATCCTCCGGGCTTCTCCTCCCCGAATCGTGGCCTCAGCATTTTCCGTGTATTAACCGAGGGTTCATACTTGGGCCCCTTTGGCATGCAAGAGCAGGCTGCTCCCCTGGCCCCCCTCTGCTGTGAGAAGCCTGCGGACATTCCGAGGAGGAATATGAGAGACCTCTGCGTGCTTACACGTTGTTTGACCGGCCTCGTCCCCTCCGGTCTTGTGAGAGGGGAGAGCGGGTGTCTCATGTACGACAGGCTGTGAACCAGCCCGTGGGGACGGAGCGGAGTCCTCCTCCCTGTCGCGGCTCGGGGCCCGGCGCCGGCTCCCGCGGAGGGCGGCAAGGCGGGACGTGGCTCAGCCCCGCTGCCCGGCGCGCGGAGGGGAGGGGAGGGAAGGGGCCCGCGG